TGTCATTGAAACTCCCTGTCACATCAGTCTTCCCTTCCTGGGCTCCGGAGCTTATCACCACTCCTCGCAGCCTCTCACTTCACTTCCTGCTTCTATACAGGGATTGTAAGGGGGCCTCACTCTCTGAACTCATGTTAGGCCGTGCTGAGAGATTCACTGAGAGTATTCTACTTAATCCTCAGTAACCATCAGAGAGGTGCCAAAACAAAAACTCAAAGACCGGAAATGATTTTCTTGTGTCGTATGCCTGTACCCAGTGGTAGACCTATGACCAGCATTTGAGGTTATTACTGTCTTTTTTGAGACAGAGTTTTGCTATGTAGTGCTGGCTGGACTGGAATTGGAGATTCTCCTGTCACTGCCTCCTGGGTGCTGAGATTATAGTTGAGTGTCACCATGTCTGGCTTCAAAGATGAATTTTGTGGAACTCCCAAGCCAGGCCAGGTGGCATCAGACTCTCAGGGTCGTCTGTTGACTCCTTCCCTTGCTAGACACTGTACCTCCTGCATCTGCAGGAATTACTGTCTCTTGGCATTTTTCTCTGACCTTGGTGAAACTGGGTGACAATTCCTGTCTCTCTGGGTTACTCAGAGGAACTGAGGTAGCAAAACAATGGAAATTATTCAAGCATGGCCCACTCTACACACGCTGCATTGTGACTGCCATTAGGGTCGCTCTGCCATCTCTAAGACACTGACCGTTCTGCAGGTGGAACCATCACCCACTGAAAACAGCCCAGGAATGAATCTCTTCCTTGTCTCAGAGGCCTTGGGTGAGTTTGACAGCCTTTGCATTATCCAAACACGGATAAATATCTAGAACGAATCCTCTCACTGGATGGCAGAAGACATTTCTCCAGCTGGGGCAGGTGGACAATGGTGCTCACTGAGAGTGCCCTGGGGTCACAGAGCTGAACAGGAGCGTAGTTTGAAAGAAGCTGGTGGTCTCCACAGGGTTCTGCTGCAGTTTCTAATCTCGTTCAATTTTGAATGGCCCATCGCTCTGTGATCCCCAGAGCTTGCCTGATGAGATCTTGTTTGGAGCAGGGAAATTTGATCCGGTGACCTCCACCCCCCTTTCTTCCTGCTTAGAAGTAATGACCCACTTCAACTTTGAGTGGCTTCAGACATCAGGTCACAATTCAGGGCCCCATACTTGATCCAGGTAGAAAGGTTTTCACTTTTGGCAAAGTCTTGATTCTCCCTACCAGGCAGGTACTCTCTGGCTCTTCCCGGGTTCTCTGTAACTCCTCCAGTGGTAGGGAACCAGGGTGTGTGCTTTCCAACTTCTGGGCACCCAGAGGACTATATTTCAGTGTATGAGAGCAAGCATACCCAGCCCAGGATGCAACATGCCCTCCAGCATGCCCCCAACTTCAAAGGGCTATCGTAGGAATTAAAAGTGACTTGGCTGCCACAGCTACTTTTAAAATACCCAGCCCAAATTCTGGTTAGAGGATGTGGTAATAAATGTCAGTTATGATTACTAAGATGAAAATGATGCTTCAGGACAGAGTAGGGAATTTAACCCAGGTGTGAGTTCTGCTTTGGCCTCTACTTAGGGAGCAGGAACACCATAGAAAGGATCATTTCAGGGTATGACAGAGGGAATCTACTGGACTTGGACCACTTGGCAGGAGTCATCTGTTCTTTAAGGGTTGAGCTGCCTGGCCTCCTGGGCTCCTGGGCTCCTGGGCTCCCTCACCTGGGTGGATCCTTCCCTCTGCCTTTGGGTTGGAAGGAAGTACTCCTTGGTCTTCTTCCTTCCCATAGAGTGGAGATGAGGTAGCAGTGAACTGAAAAAACATGTTTATTGAGCATTTTCTAGGCAGTAGGTTATTATTAACCAAGCTGGTCGGTGGTGGCGCACACCTTTAGTCCCAGCACTTGGGAGGCAGAGGCAAGCAGATTTCTGTTAATTTGAGGTCAGTCTGGGCTACAGAGTGAGTTCCAGGACAGCCATGGCTACAAAGAGAATTCTTGTCTGGAAAAACCAACCAAACCTAAAAACTCAACGAACCAAACAAAATAAGTGCTAATTAAGGTTTTGTTTTGAAAGCATTCTCAGTGCAGTGAGGGGGTGGAAGGTGGGAAAAGTAAAGAGAGACGAGCATTGTGTCATCTGGGTTAATAAAAAGCTAACTGGCCAATAGGTAGGCAGGATTCCAGTCGCAAAGGACACTGGGAAGGAGGGCAGAGACACCAGGAGATGCCGAGGAAGCCGTAGAGTACAGAGTAGAGAGTAAAGGTAACTGGGCCACATGAAGAAACATAGATTGAAAGATATGGGTTGATTTAAGTTATTAGAGCTAGTTAGAAACAAGGCTAAACTGTCGAGCAAGCTTTCATAATCAATAAGTCTCCATGTCACTACTGAGGAGCTGACGGTCCCAATAAAAAAGTCCAACTCCAGATGGCATCCTAGGAGGGAACACCCAGGTTCACCTGCTGTCAGGAGTGGTGAGGGTGGGCCCTCAAGTAGTGAGAGCTGCCTGCAGCTGAAGAATCCTTAGCCTGGCTGTGCTGGGGAGTATGGACAGATGTCCCCAGGACAGAAAGTTCTTGACTAGTTAATGCTTCAGAGGAGGCCAGAGTGACAGTGACTAGTCTCTGTCAGCATAGTTGAGCAGCCCGCTACAAACAACTCTGAATGGATTTAGGGCAGGACACTGATGGGTCAGATTTGTTTTCCGAAGGCCACTTTCATTATCTGTGTCTTCATTGTCATGGCCAAGCAAAGGCAGAGGCAAGGAGGCTAAGACCTCAGCAACCCAGCTGTGCTCTATTTCTTCTGTTGCTGTATCTTTTGGTCCCATCCCAGGAGTACATGTCACCATGGCAACAAGTGGACAAACATTTCTGGCTTTGAAAGATGTGTACGTATGTATGCATCAAGGTCATTCGTGTGGCTCTGCGATGATGTGTAGACGAATCCTTCTCCATCAAGTCCTCCCCACACAGCTGGAGGTGTGGCACTCCAAGAAACAGCAAAGTACCTTGGCTACCAAAGTACCTTGGCTACCAACCCACCTCCAACCCGCCTCTAACAAGTCACTTCTTCAACTAATTAACACCAACAGGGATCTTGCTCAAATGTTTGTTTACTGGACTATTATCCATCTACCCCCCCCCCCGCGCCCTGCTACAAGATAAGCCCAGGTGAGCAGAGGGCTTGTCTGGTTTAACACTGTGGCCCCTGTACCTAGCATCATACCCGGCTCCTGAAAGTCTAGAAAGTGTTTGGTAAATGAACAAGTGTAAGGAGTCCTGAGCACCATGGTGAAGCCATGGTCCAGACATAATGGAAACTCAAGAAGGAGCATTAACTGTGCAGAGCTAGGAGTGGGTTCCACTGGTGTCTTTTTACTGACAATATTGTTGAGCGACTCTGACCAAACGCAACAAGAATGGTGAGCATAAAAGGAGTCATTGCGCCAGCTTTGCCCTTCTGCCTCTTCATCCAAGGGCCATGTTCTGTGTAGTTCTGTCTGATGCAGACATTCTTCTAGGAACAAGACGAAGCAGAGTTTTGAGGCCTGACAACTGCCCATCTCTATACAGTGTTATTTCTCCTCTGGAGAGAAGCCAGGTAAGCTTCAAGCCAGACACACCTCCAGCTGTGTGGGGAGGACTTGATGGAGAAGGATTCGTCTACACATCATTGGACAGCACTTGGCTGGGTTAGAGATACACAAGGAGCCCAAGCTAAGCCAGTGAAAACAAACCTTAGGCTTGTTCTGGAACTTCCGGGTCAGACTCTCCTGCAGTTGCTCAGCTGATAGGTTGCAAGTCTGGGGATGTTGGTGACCAGTAGGTCACCTCATAGAGCAAAGCAGCTGGCAGAAGAAAACTCACACAAACACCACCAAGAACAGAAGAAAGACGTCCCGGGGGACTGGTGTAGACATAAAACCTACTTTCAGTTTGTAAAGCCTATCATGTCTGCTTCTTTCCTTTCTTCCTTTTAAAAACATCTTATTTTAATTGCACATGGGTGTTTTGCCTACCTTTGTGTCTGGGTACCACGTGTGTGCCTGGTACCCTTGGAGGCCAGAAGAGGGAGTCAGATTGCCTAGAACTGGAATCACAGAGTTGTGAGCTACCATGTGGGTGCTGGGAATTGAACCTGGGACTCCTGGAAGAGAAGTCCATGCTCTTCACAGCTGAGCTATCTCTCCAGCAATTCCCTTTATCCTTCCCTTCTGAGTACAACACACAGGCTCCAGGCTGGACCTCTCTAGAGAGGCAAAGATAGGCTTATCCAGTAGTCCAGGGGCAGTAGTAAGGCAATGAGACAAAGGGACAGGAACTGCCTTCAAGGTTTTGTTTTTTTGTTTTTTCCATATTTGGACATTTACTGTGTGTGTTTGGTAGGGGGCGGTGCTGTGCCATGGTATACCCGGCAAGTCAGGTCAGGAGACAGTTTGCCATAGGCAGTTGGTTCTTTCCATGAGTACAGGGGATTGAACTTAGCCAAGCTTGGCAGCAAGTGCCTTTACAGACTGAGCCATTTCCCTGAGCCTGGGAGCTGGCTTTTAAGTAAGGTACAGGCACTTAGTCTTAAGTCCCCCCACAATGTGGCTTTTTTAGTTTTCTGAACACGTGGAGGGTGGAAAGCTTGGGTAAGCAGGGTTAGCCTGGGTGTTTTCAATAGCATAGCTGAGTGGGCACAGATCAACTGAGCTCGGGTGAGCAGGGTTAGCCTGGGTGTTCTCAATAGCATAGCTAAGTGGGCACAGACCAACTGAGCTACAGCTGTGAACTAGGGCGTTACAGAGCCTCACAGGCTTTTTTAAAATTATTTTTTATTTAAATTCAATCTAACTTTATATACCGATCCCAGTTCCCTCTCCCTCCTGTCCTCCACGCCCCGCACCATCTCTCCATCCCACCTCTCATCTACCCCTTAGAGAGGGTGAGACCTCCCATGGGGGATCATCAAGTCTGTCACATCATTTGGGGCAGAACCTCTAGCTCAGCCGTTAAAGCCTGGCTCACAACTCACAGCCTTTTTAATGGGCATTGGTTTTGAGTTTGAGAGCCTTAGGTCCTGGTTTTCTACGCAGGTGGCTGGGCCTTACCCTTCCCAGGAGCTCTGGCTCAGTCGTCTGGGGTGGAGTCTGAGAATTCGCATTTCTAACAAGCTCCAGGTGAATTTGTGCTGTGGCTGCTGGGCTCATGGCTGCACCTTCTCCTTGAAACCCAATTCAAGGACGGCCAGATTGATGCTTCCCAGACCTGCGTCCTTCTTGGTTACCAAATGGTCACATCCCTGAGCCTTCAGCTGCAGAAACTGCACAAGTGGTGTTGTGCTCCAAGGACCTGTGGTGAGTCTGTGACCTCCAAATATCTTAATTTTGGTAAACCTGGTGTGGTTTTGGTAAGCTGGGGTGGTTTGGGCATGAGGGGACGGGTGAGCTTGGTCTTCTGAAAAGGGCCAGGTTCTGCCCTGGGCCAGAGGGCACTGTGGATGGTCAAGAGGGCCTTGCTGACTTTGAGGATGACAAGGGGTGGGTGGGCAGGATAGTTTCAGTTATCTGTGGCTACTGGTGCGGACCGAGTGGTTTACTTCCTTTGGTATCATTGTTCTCAAGAGGCAGAAAAGGGGAGAGCATGGGAGAGAGCAATCTTCCTCTCCCCTGAGTTATTATTAATGTGTCTTATCAATGTACTAGGACCTGTCATGGAACTTAACAGTCAATGCTACTGCTTTGGGTGGTATTGTTTCCATTTTATAGAGGGACTCATTGAGGCCTGTGAGACAAAGCCAGCTGCCACGACCAAGTAGCTTATTTGTAGAAGAATTAGGTGTTGAACCTAGCTTTGTGTGTGTGTGTGTGTGTGTGTGAGTGACTCTGAATTAGACATGTTTCTTCCTGCTGGCTGCCAAGCCAATTGGCCTGGCATCCTGAGTGTTGGGCCCAACCTAAGCTGAAGCTTATCAGTGGCCCTCTCTGGGTTTACCAGGTTCTCCAGAGAAACTGCCAATAAGGGGTTGTGGGTACTTCAAGATCTGCAGGGTGAGTTGTCCAGCTGGAGAGTTGATGTTTCAGCTGTAGCTTGGGTCTGAAGCCAGAGAGTCAGTGGTGGTGTTTCACCACCTTCACAAAGACACTAACAATAATTCCCGATCATCTCGTGGCCAAGTTTGACAGTTAAAACTCACTGCCACAGTTGCTTTGTGAAGTCAAGGGGTCTGGTCAGCAGGGAAATGTCCAGGGAACCATGAAACTTCTCCTAGCCTGCTGCTGTCTTGGGGGAGAGTTATGACAGGTGATGCTCCACAGAGAGAGGTTGTCTGAATTCTTGCTGCCCGGCCTGTTGTCACTGGCATCATGGGCATCCTGAAGTATGGTGTTCAGCTTAGCTGCTCTCCGAGTCTGAGCCAGTGCTGCCCTGTATGTGTGTGGTGAGGGGGCGGAGAGACACCTCTCTTGTCCTACTTCCCTTCCCAGGGAACATATTGTGGGGAATTATCATTGGATCTGCAGTGAGCAGAGGGAGCCCCCAGACCTTCCCAGTCACAGGAGGCTGGGCTGAAAATTCAGAAAAAGATTTGGCCAGAGGCCAAGTCCAGAGAACACATGGTCAGGTCCTGCCTGGGCTTTGTCTAGAGCATGGCCTCTGTCATCCAGACAGGCTTGGGTCTGGGGGCCAAGCCACACTGTGTAGGTATCCCTATGTAGAGCATCCCAACTTTCTGACCCTTGCCCAGACATTCACTATCCTTAGCTCCCAACTCTAGAGCTTCCCTCCTCCTCCCACTGCCCCCTGTTCTGCCTGACCATGAATGATGTATAAGCTTTCCAGAAAACCACCTTTGTGAAGCAGGTTTATGCTTTCATCCCATCTCTCCCTGGGCCAGACAATGTTTAGTTTCCTTAGCACCTGACCTGTAAGGATGATGAAGAGGGATGAATTGTAGGGGTTCCCTTCTGAGAGGAGGTGCTTCTGTGCAAGGCCTGATGCAGGATGAACCACCAAAACCCTCAGGGCTTGCATTAATTGCTTTTCTATTGCTATGATAAGTCACCATTGACCAAAGCAACTTATAAAAGAGCTTAATTAGCCTCATGGTTCCAGAGGGTGTGAGTCTACAGTGTTAGAGTAAAGGCATGATGGCAGGCAGTTGTAGCAGCAGCTGGGAACTCACATCTTGACCCATAGCAAGGAGACAGAGAAGGGGGGGGAGGGAGAGAGAGAGACAGCGAGAGGGACAGAGACAGAGAGAGAGACAGAGAGAGAGACAGAGAGAGAGCAAGTGATGAGTCTTTTGAAACCTCTAAACCCACCCCCACTGACACACCTCCTTCAACAAGTCCATGCCTCCTAACCCTTCCCAGACAGTATTAGTATTCAAACATGTGAGCCTATGGGAGGTCATTCTCATTCAAACCAGTCTAGGGTTCCTGGGAAGGGGCTGTCTGTCTGCTAGAGAGATCTCTTGGAAAGGCCATAGTGATGGAAACTGGGTGGGGTAGGCACAGGAGTAGGATGGAGATAAAGCAGCTAGTCCCAGCTGCTTAGGTTCCGGAGTACCACTAACCACACTAAGGCTGTGATGGTAAGTGTGTGAGATGTGGGTCTGCAGCCTTTGTAGGGATGCAGATGTTGTGTCTTAAATTGTTTCGCCAGGGGAAAGAGGGAGATGTGGGAGGTGATGCTATAAAAATGCTGTGCAGTGTAACCAGTGCTCCTGCTTTGGGGGGCTTCATAGAGGTTCTGGTCTGCCCAGGGGTTGAGGAGGTGGGGTAGCGGAGACTGCTGGTGGGGCTGTCAGGGTCGTTACACCGAGCAGATAACAGGTAACACGAGGGACACCAGGAGCCAGGCTTCTCCTTAGAGAACGGGTGTGCAAGCACAGTTCCCTGGGGGAAAACTAGAAACAACTGAGGAGCTGGATGGATTTGAATTCGTGCATGTAAATATCTAGATTTACACATGCATTCACACCAGGAGTTCAGTGGCTGTATAGTTTCAGATACATGTAAATCCATGTGGCTATAGTCACTGTATGTACATTGCTTGGCTTCCAAATTCCCAAAAGCAACAGCACACACTAAGATCCTAGATCTTGGCTTCTATAACCATTTCAACTACAATGAACCAAACCTGTTCCCAGATGATCCTGGAACATTTGTGCTGTAAAGTAAGCATGTGTTCAGATGGCGACTTGTGAGGGGCAGAGGGATTGTCTGGAAGGGGCTTCTGCTGGCTAGACCTGGACTGTTGAACATCAGCATAAATAATGATAGTAACTTACAAAGCCACTGAAGAAAATTGGAATCTAGAAGCCTATATTGATATAAAGAGTAAATACACCACAGGGAGAAGGCAAAGCCTTTTATTCTTGCTAAGACTACGTAGGTTGGATCTAGCCATAGAGAAGTAGAAACTAGCCCAGGTTGAGAGTTAACCTATAAAATAAGTATATACAGCCCAAACAAGCAAACAAGCAAAACAAACTCTCAAATGATTAAAAAAAAATCAGAAGAAAACCCTCACAATGACTAAATGTGGTGTGTTTTTTAGATTAGCTCCCACTGGAAAGACCCGTTGTTGGGACAGTGGCAAAATTTGCATGAGGTCTGTGGGTTGGAGGGTGAGGTGTGGATCTTGATTTCCTGGCTTGTAAGGCATGGTTCCGAATCCGTGTCTGTTTGTGGGAAATACTCGGGAGTTTTTAGGCACGACAGGACATCATCTCGGCAGCTCGCTGTCAAGAGGTTCAGAAAATACTAGAATCGTATCCTCTCTGCACATGTGGCAGCAGTGAGGGTCCACATGCAAGCAGAGAAGTAAATGTGGGAAGATATTAACTGCTAGGGAACCGGGGCAAGAGAAATAGGACAGTTTTTTGGCATTCTTACAACTTTTCTGTAGGTTTGCTGCAATCCTATCAAAATAAAATGTATTTCAAAAAGGGTTTAAAAACCCACTTAGTCTGACTAATCTCCAGGGGGACTGTATAATATGTGAGAGCATCTCTGGCTGTTCTTTTATGTGAATTTTTATGTAGTTAAAATGGTGCTGTATGTACAACTTTATATCTCCCCGTGTCATTTAGCATGGTAACATAAACATTGCCCCGAGTGTTACTACAGTCTCCATAAACATTTCTTTAATGGCCTAAGGATGCTCCGTAAAAGCCTACCATGCTAACTATCACGGGACAGTACGGGAGTTATTACCTTCCAAAGTTACAAATCCTGTAGCAGAGGGTAGCTGTGACAGTAAAGCCGCATGTGTTTCCTTTAGATCAGACTTCTAGAAACAGAATTAGGAAGGGATGTGAATATCTTAATGCAGTTAGTATACTCCCCCCAGAGCTTTCAAAAGCTCCTGAGTGATAGTGCAGTCCCCAGCTTTCAGAGTGACTGCTTCTTCAGCCCCTCACCCTTGATTAAGAATCCTTTATTCAGGCTGGGCTTTGTGGCGCACGCCTTTAATCCCAGAACTCAGGAGGCAGAGGCAGGTGGATCTCTGTGAGTCAAGGCCAGCCTGGCCTACAGAGTGAGCTTTAGGATAGCCAGGGCTACATAGAAGGATTTTGTCTAAAACACAACAAAAGAACAATAAAAACTCCCAAAACCTTTGCTCCTTTTAAAAATTTCTTCTTAAAATTGGAACACTTTATGGATTTTTCTGTCACTCTACTTGGCGTTGGTGAAGTCAGCATGCCTTTGATCTTTTGATAGATGGGGGGCCATGACTTACTGCATGTTCTGCTGATGTCTAAAGAAGTTGAGGCTCCTCATGGGTGTTGTCACATTCTCCATTTGCTTAGAGAGGCCCACTGCTTCTCTGAGAACGGAGACCACACGCCTGTTGTGTCTCATGTAGACAGTTCTCCTAAGACCGGAGCCTACGGTGCCCATACCTGGTTCTTTGTAGAATCTTCTGAATTTCAAGTTGATCATGTGACTAGCTGTCGATTCCTCCCTCCCCCCAGGGCTATGCTGTGAGTCTCTGCTCAGTGTTCACTGCCTGGCCTGTAAGCAGCCCCCACCACCTTTATTTCCTGGGCTTTGTTCTCCTTTTTAGCATTTGGGTGGGAGCAGGATTATGAAAGCAATTTTTTTTAATTAAAAAATGACTCAGAGATCCATCTACCTCTGCCTCCCGAGTGCTGGAATTAAAGGCGTGTGCCACCCCCACCATACCCTCCACTATAAAAGCAATTTTTACTCTGTAAAAAGTCAAAGATTCCAGAAAAATAGGTATAAAAGAAAAAAAAAAGCCCACTAATCCCAAATTCATCTTTGCACAGGTTGGAACCTGGGCTTCGGGACACGAGGCAATTAGTTGAAGTGGTACAAAGCTTAGC